ATTGAAAAACTTTGGCTTTACCTCTATTCACATCCTTCCTAATGATTACTGACTTCAGGCCTTCGCCAAAACCTTCCATAAGACTTTCTAGGTTAGCTGTATTAGTTACCAAGTCCTTGAAGTTTTGGGAATTGGAAGCATGCAAGTGTACTGCAATGTCAGATCTCATGTTTTTAATGCACATAAGCACCTTTTGGTCCTCAGGGAGTGGGTTTGCCTACCCTATGCTGATATTGCGCATCGAGTGATATAGTCGTGCATAGGTTCATGATTCCTCTGCTTCACATTGAGTAGTTCAACCAAGTGGATCACCCTTTTTGTGTTGTGAAACCTTGCCAGGAATACTTCTTGCATTTGCTTCCATGTAAATATGATCTCAGGAGGTGGTCATGACTACCAGGTGAAAGTTGGTTCTGATAGTGACTGTACAAAATTGTCGCATCAGAAGGTTCATGTTAATAGCTGAGTCCACGCACACAGAAATGAAGTGGGCCAAGTGTTGATGAAGGGAGCCTTGCCCATCAAACTTTGGGAATTTCAATCGTTGGTGTCAAGGATATGGCACTACATCAACATACGCTGGGTATGATTTATGATAAGGTTCGAGAACGACAAGCGCCAACAATTGTATTTATGAGAACAACTTAGTGATTGCATCTGCGCCAGCTATTGTATCTGAAAAGATAAATACGAGAAATAAAGTGCATTATGAAGATAAAGATCACAACCTGCAAGATCTGTGATTCAAATAAATAGATAAACTCAAGATGAAGCTGAAGGGTGAAGATTCGAAGATGAAAAATGCATGATTATCTCTTGAATAACCATAATTTAACACTATAAAAAGGGGTACTTCTCGATTAAAGGAAAGGTCGCACTTTTGGTAGACACAATCTTGTAGAGATAAAGAGTTCTTCAAAGGTTTTAACTCGGTAAGAACCAAGAGTAAAAAAAAAGAGTGATATTCAAGAGACGAAGAGAGAGATAATCGTTTTCTACGACTCATTTGAGACTCGTTCTCTTCCGAAGACCAGACTCGAAGGATAACAAGTCCTACTTATTTTTATAAGTATATGGGCCAATATGCCCTCGACATTATCTTTTCTCTTTAACATGTTTGTATTTTCTATTTTAAAAATAAATGTATAGTTTTCAAAGTCAGAATCAAATGTGTTTGACTTATTTTAATACTTCAAGTCGATGTAAAATGTAACAAATGATTAAATATCTAGAATTGCTCAGTTCCCAGTATAAATAATAAAGCATGTGTTTCTAATATGAAGAACATGGGTGAATTTGGTCCCAAATGTGATGTCCTCTAGTTTTCTATTTGGGGTCTAATATTTGTTTAAACATTCCGCATTTCTTAACTCATCCACATTTCTGAGAGACCAAGTGGTAGGCAGATGATGATGCTTGTCCCTCATGGTAGTAAGGTAGTACTTCTAAGGGAGAGTAAGGCAAGTCTGCCTTGATCGAGGTCAAGGGGATTGCTTTTCAACATCTCACTTCTTCCTTGAACATTTTCGCAAGCATTCTCGTCACATCTTCAACCTCCTCATTGTGGGAATCGCCAGTTCTCCTCATGGTGTACCTTGGTATAGCTTCTTCATGTTGTTTTTGCTCTTTATGTTGCATTGCTTTGGTGAAGTAATACTTAGCATCTGCATAGTGCAACTCTGTGGTAGGAAACAGTCTTTTATCCGCATAGGCCGTGTGTTGTCTTTAGTGTCGGCTATATTTGAAGCACTGATGGAGTGTAGGTGGAACCACCACATGGTCGTGGAGCTAGGGACATGGTCGTGGAGCTAGGGACGACCAAGCAATATGTCATAGGAAGTATTGGCCCTCAATCACATGGAGCTGAGCATAGGCATTCAATCACGGATCTTGAGGCGAACATGGACGATGCCAGCTGGTCTCTCCCCAGACTGGTTGAACCTTTGGATCATGAGGTGTGAAGGCATTAAGTGCTCGACCCCCAACCCTATACGGGTAAGGACCCTTTTCGAAATGAGATTCACCGTGGAACCTCCATCGAGCATAATCCGGTTTACCAAGTAAGCATGCAACTCGCCAGTTACGAACATGTGTCGATTATGGAAAGAAGGTCGTGTTCCAACTTGCTTGATTGCATGTTCTGTTGCTACTCCTCGTCAACAGTGACCGTATGCGAGGCTTCTTTCGCCTCGAAATCCTTTTTGCTACCATCCAATTGGAACTACCCCTTCCGAATCATAGCCATAATGTGATCCTTGATAAGGAAGCAACCTTCAATTACATGCCCCAACATTATGTAACATTATGTGGAAGACAAAAATACTTTTTACGGTCTATGAGCCCAACTTGCTCGGGTCTCCTTGGTTCCGACAAAGATATCATGTCTTCATCCAACAATATCTGTAGAATCATCAGGGTCTAAGACCTATCAAAGATATAAGGCTTGTTAAGTTTATCGTTGAGGGATGGTCGGTTGAGATTTGGAGAAGGTACTTAATTATTAGATTGGGGATGTCGCTGCCCTTGCTGAGGCTTCCCTTGGGGTCTTAACTGTGGGACTCCTAAGGAAGTATCAATGTTTAGAGTTTTCATAAGGGTTTGTTCGGCTGGAACTTGGGCACAGGTCAGTGTGGTAGCGACTGCCACGTTGACTCTGTCCCTTTGCTGGTTGTTGCGCTAATTGGACCGGTTGCTGTTGAGACTTCGACTTCACTAGAGGCATGTGAGTGGGTGCCGCCATGTTGCTTATGTAGGCTCTCAATGCGCACCGCCTTGGAGATCATGTCGGCGAAGGTAATGGGGTTCAATGCTTTGATATGTAGCAAAATATCTGTTTACATATTTTGAACGCATGTTTGAATAGTGTCCACCTTAGGCATTGAGTTGCTTTGATATTCTATCATTTTAGATATTTAAGTTAAATTTTAATTAGTTTTATAATTCTATTTTATTTCATTTTTTCTAATTTATAATTAGAATATAAAACTATATAGAATAGAAATAGAATACAAATTTAGAAATAGGAATTAGAAGTAAAAAAGTAAATGATAAAATAATAGATAAAGAAAAATCTATTGAAAATAAAATGCATTCAAACACAAATAACAATAAATAAAATAAGAAATAAATAAAATTAATTAATTTACATAAATTATATTATATCAATAAAATATTAAATTTTAAATAATAATAATAATTACTTATAAGTTCGACGTTAGCGCTGAACAACTAAGGGAATTGTGATGTCGAATATTAGAACATCAAACAATTAAGTACTTGGGTTTTCCTAGTATTGGACAAGCCCTTAGTAAGAACAGAATAGAAAACTTGTGGGATTTCTCACCTGATCGGTATTAAAAATGTTGGGTAATTCTAGAAAAGAAAAAGGCTGTGGGGTGGAGGTGGTCTCTGCATAGTTTTTGCAAAAACATTGCCTTTTACAATAATAAAGGGATGTAAGACTAATTCCAGTATGATCAACAATCTAGAACACTGATTCATAATCGAAACTAAATTTTCAAAAGGCCCTTTCACCGACCGACAGGGGGTACTTGGCAACTACAAAGCTGGAAATGGAAGCTAGAATTTCTACTTTTGAGATTTGGATGCTGGGAATTTGGATACCTGATATAGATAAATATTGTGTTTGACAACCTATTTAGAAATTTCTATAATAATGTTTGGCTGAACTTGGAAGTTTGCAAACCTGGATATCTAGAAATGAGTTAGTTTTAACCATTCATTGTAGTTTCATTGATGGGACTATAATAATTATTAAAAGAGATATTTCAATTTCGTAGCTCATCCACGGTCAGTCTAACAAAATGGATGTTTTCGATTACATATATTTGATTTGTTATTTGCTTCTTTTTTTTTTTCTCTCTCCCTTCAAGTGTGTTACCAATAGGTGATAGTGAGAGAGAGTAGGCTTAAGTGAGCTGGTCATGTGTAACACATATCAAGTACAACACTTCTTATGAGGTGCTAGTTAGTTCAAGTGGAAGTCTTGAAAAGGGTAAGAAGTAGGCTCAAAATAATGTGGTTGAAACTAGTCCGAAAAGATACAGGGACTTATGGCGTCACTGAGGCTACAACCTTCAATAGAACACAATGGTAGACTAGGATTTGTATAGCCAACTCCAATTAATTGGAAAAAGATATGATAATGATCTCTCTCTCTTCATTTTCCTAAAAAATACTATTCATCTTCCTATAAAACTGGGACCGGGTAGCAAATAACGAAATAAGCTCAGGAACCCAAATGGGTTTGACCATAAATATAGGGAGGGAAAGATGCGACCATATATCATAAAAAATGTAAATAAATAAGCTCAAAATCTAAAATAGGGCATATACAAGATGGAAAATGGGTTCCACATTTGAAAATGGAAAAGAAAAAATATCTAAGGAAAAGGTTTATATAAGGATACTACCTTATAATGTAGAACTACAGATGCCCCACAATAACCCATCGAAAAAAGTAGTTTTAATGTTGAAAAGCCTTTTGATTGATCATCTTGACATCGAGATGTATGACTATGATAAATAAAAGATTTTAAGTCTCAGAAATAGTGCATTTTACAATATATTATCTACACTATCCATTTTCAAGATTTTCATATGTTTATAGATATACTTGATTTTAACTATATTTGAAATTTAAAATTTGATAATTAGATATAAAAATAGATTTTGAGATAAACATTGTCCCATAAAATCTTCCTAATTTCGCCTCGTAGCATAGTGTGCTACCACAAATCCCAGACAGTGAGAGAGAGTGAGGCGATGAGTATATTTTTTTAATACAGAAATGCTACAGTGAATTAGAAATTTCAACTTCTGCTATGAATATTCCTAGTTACAGGGGTTTCGAAACATTGATCGTGCGCAAGGGATGAGAATTTTGCACAATTTTCTTATTTTTCACCTTTCACGCAGTTTATCGCCCTTTTTAATCTTTTTTACCAAAACATTTCTTTTTCCATTTCTCTCTCGATAAACCTCTCAACCCTCTTTCTCTCTAACCTCTCTGAACCCTACTCTCTCTCTCTCACTTCTCTCACCTCTACGCTCTGTTTATGCACCGCCATGCCACCACGAGCTGCACAGAAGCGAGCCACTGCCTCGAAAGCAACAGGAAAATCCCCCTCCGATTCGTCCCCGAAGTCTCCTGCTAAACGCTCTCTGCAACAAACACCTTCTCAAGCGAAAACCCCTCAACATATAATCAAGGATCCGGTTAAAGAGCAAGCTTCTAAATCCATTGACTCTAAAATCTCTTCAAATGAACCAGAAGTGAAAGATTCAGATACAAAAGGTTCGTTACGGATTCAAAATGTGGTGTTTCTTTTTTTCTTTCATTTGATCTCCTGGTATGATTTTTGTGGTTTTTCATTCAACTTTTATTGAATTTCTGTTGTTTTTGAACTTGGGTTTTTTCGTTTTTAGAAATCAGGGCTGTTGAGGATGTGTCCAATAAGAAGAGAGTGGGCGAAATTGTGGCAAATGTGGTGGTTGAGACCTCTGTTATTAAAGAAGCCGTGGACACGGCGAAAGATCAAGCCATGGAAAATGTAGCTAAAGAGGAAGAACAGGAAGAAGAAGAAGAAGTGGAAGAAGAAATCATAGAAGAAATTGAAGAGGAGGAGGAGGAGGAGGAGGAAGAAGAAGAAGATGGTGGGGATGGTGGTTCAGAGCACAGAAGTGAGATTAGAAAGATAAAACAAAAAGATTATGAGATCTTTGTTGGTGGGCTTGACAAGGATGCAGAGGAGGAGGACTTGGAGAAAGTTTTCGGAGATGTTGGGGAGGTCGTTGAAATTCGACTGGCAAAGAAGCCACATACGGATAAGAACAAAGGATTCGCGTTTGTGAGGTTTGCCACCGTGGAGCAAGCAAAAAAGGCAGCTGCTGAGCTGAAGTTCCCAGTGGTTTCTCCTTTCCCATCTCGCTCTTAATTGTTCACTTTTCATTGCTATGCTATTGTTCATTGCTATGGTAGTGAAATCTAGTTTGTATTAAAATTTGCTTAAGCGTGCTATCATGTTTTCTGATATGGTTTGATTGTTCCGTTGGGTACTCTTACATTTATTTATTTATAGTAGTGCTCATGTGGGTAGTGGGGGGTTCTAATATAATTAATTATTTCGTTGTTCATTGTTTTTAACCTCGTACCTCTTTGGGGGTTTTAATGAATGGATTTTATTCATTTATATTTTAGAATTGCCCTCATGGGCGTTGAAATTAAGCCTTAAGATTGGTTGTGCTTCTTATATGCTTTTATATTTTTTATATTTGTTTTGTGCTATGTTAAGAATGAATGTGAAACTGGTGTTTCTTTTCTATTTTTTTGTATCTCATCTTTTTCTTACTAGGGTGGAACCAGTGGCTTCTTATGTTCCATATGACTTCAGAAACTTTGAGGCAATGTATTTTATACAGCAACTGAAAGTCTGAATTACATTTCAAAAAATATTCTATGTGAAGTTCTCTCACATACAAGATATTCTAGTGATATTTTTGCAAAGAAGTTTGTCTCTTAAGTATGCATACAAGTGATTCTGTACACGAGGTGTCATCTAAGGTGCTAGTAAGTGCCTTGGCTCGTTGTATACATGTATGTGTGCATGTGCTTAATATTGAACAATCTTATTTGAGGCATTAGGTGGTGCCTAGGAAATTAGGAGCTGCACCCCTAGGTGCTCCAAGCACCATGAAGTGGGTTCCTATAATTCTTAGTCAGGGTTAGACAAAATTAGAGTCTTTTCCATATTGTATGATTATACATTTATAATTCTTTAAACGATTTTAATGCATATGTGCCTAGGCACATGCATTCGCATACATATCTACCATTGAACGTATACACGATACATATATGGAGTGATAAAATTAATGAGGACTTTGTATTCTACTTCTAGAACGTTGTGCACCCTAGTAATCCTACAGTTATGTATTCACTAAAAATGAGCTACCATAGTTATTAAGTTTTCTCACGATGGAAACGTCCCACTCATATGACACCAAAGTGCTGTAAAAAGTAACTATTACATGACTAAGAAAATAACCGAATCATCATCATTATCAGAGCCTTTTCCCAACTATCTGGGGTTCAGCTACATAAATCCTGGTCCACCATTCTTCTCCATCAAGAGCCATGCCCTTAGTGAGCCTATAAGTCTCCATATCTAAGAAAATAACCCAATATGAGACCAAAGTTTTCTTTCTTCCTTTTCAGTCATACAGAGATAAACCTGCTCCAAGTTGCTCCAAATGGAGCTTATAGAGTGAGATGTAAGCAATAGGGGAAGAGGGAGAGAGAAAACTAAAAAACCATCAAATTGGTGGGGGACCTAGACCCACAAAAGGGTCCCTGCTATATCTGCCTATGTGAGCTAATGAATTACCTAGATCATTGCTCAGTCTCTAGACATTCTGAAATCTCACTTGCTGATCTTGGCATGGGTCATATGTCTCCTTCAAAGTGTTTACTAATTGCCATGATACTATGCTTTCCCTTGATGCCTGTCGAATCACATTTGAGGAAATCATCTTTCAACTAGCAGAGGACTTGAGAAAGATTGGAAGAATATGCACAGTTCTATGAGAAGTGCTGGGGCCTTGGTGCTATTAACATATCCAATCCCTGTTGGCCCTTTGGTGCAGACCTAGTAGCTTGGGCTAGGGTTTAGCAAAGGAGAGGATAGGGAACATCCAAAATTAGAGAAAGATTAAAAAACTAGAGATAAAAGGAGCACTTGCTGCACTAAGGTTTTGAATAAAAGTACATAACATAATCATCCACTATGCTTGAGTGCATCCCTTATATAAAAAAACTCTAAACAAGACTTAATCTTGGCCATCCATCTAATCTATTCATGACCCTTTATTATAAAAGACTTTTAAGTCAATAAAAAGACATAAAAGACTCTAAACGTTACTACTTATATCCCTAAGTGAGTAAAAAGACTCAAGAAATATATAAAAGATAGAAGGATAGACTCAATGATCATGTGGTTTCCCCTGTAATCTTTAAGCTGATCTCTCATGTCTAGATATTCGAGAGTAATATTTTGGGCTCCATCAGTCCCCCCTTTCCTCAAAAGAATTCTTCCTCCAGTTCGGCGGCTCGTCGTTAGAGGTATCACCATGATATGGGATGAAATGCTTGACATTAAAAACTTTGGAAGTGTGAATATGGTTGGGAAGCTTCAATTTGGAGGCAATGTCCTTGATCTTCTTCTTAATTTTGAACAGTCCTACCTTGATGAGACTTGATTTCAAGGCATTCCATTTTATTGCATTCCCCATGGACATTGGATTAACCATGTTTTAGGCTCACTGGGAATTGCCGTACTTGTACTACATAAGCACAACACACTTGGTCTTGACCACATCAGAGAATACTCTACCGTGAATTTTGAAGTGGCTAAAGATTAATGATACATTACCCCCGTGATTTCCTCCAGTTCGCACATAGTGGGAATTGCCGTAATTGTACTACATAAGCACAACACACTTGGTCCTGACCACATCAGAGAATACTCTATCGTGAATTTTGAAGTGGCTAAAGAGTAATGATACATTACGCCCGTGATTTCCTTCAGTTCGCACAGTGGTTAGATATAAAGGTTCTCCGCTCAAAACAAATAATGGTTGAAAGCTGAACTCCAACATCTGGAATCATATAAGCAACCATTTGATGGCCACCATCTATATTGAACTGACTAGTAAAAATTTCTTAGGAAAATATCACCAAACCCTTGGGGCGCATCTCACATGATGATCCATATTTGGGCAAGACATCATGAAAAACAACATCCTTACTACTACCTTCATCTCCTTGATCCTCCTTTTCTTCGCCTTGGTGTTCTCCATAGCAATTGTCACCCATCAAATCGTCATTAATGATGGGTTCACTATCAAAGACATGATCACGATCTCCATCAAAAGGTTCCTGTAAACTTTAAGCTGATCTTTATTGCCTAGATACTTGAGAGGCTCCATCAGTCCCCCCTTTGCTCAAAAGAATTCTTCTTCCAATTCGGTGGCTCATCATCGGAGATATCACCATGATTTGGAATGAGATGCATGACATTAAAAACATTGGAAGTACGAATATGGCTGGGAAGCTTCAATTTGTAGCATAGTTTCAAAAAGCCCTAGGTAGCACCCAGGTGACCATGGGGTCCTGGCAGCCCATCGCCTAGGCGGGCGCCCTGAACTTGGGCGGTCCAGTTGAAAAAAAAGAAAAGAAAAAAGATAGTCAGATTCTGATATCCATAAGAATTTTGATAATCCATAAGAATTTTGATAATCCATAAGATTATAATCCCAGTTGAAAAAAAAAAGATAGAAGTCAAGAAGAGAATTTTGATAATCCATATTTTCATACAATGCTAAAAGCCTAAAATAGTAAAACATACAAGCATACACTGATAGTCTGATACACTGTAGACTGTATAGTAGAACTAGAAACTAAAAATAAAAAAAGAAAATATACAGAAATTCAGAAAATATACAGACTACAGTCTAGGAACAATAGTCAACACTCAATAGTCAATAGTCAACAGTCAACACTCAGCAGTCAACACTCAACACCAAGTGTCTTCAGTCATCATCATCATCATCATCATCATCAGAAGGAATAGAGTAAGCCTCATCATATGCATCAGATTCGAGGCCATCATCATCAAAGTCATCTCCCTCTTCAATATAACACTCGTCCTCCTCTGTTTCTTCTGAATCTGCATCTTCCTCCCTTTTTTCTACCTCTCTCTTATTAGTATGTACAGATGAGGCCCTAGGAGCCTTGGCTGCTCTACCCTTTTCTATCTTTTTGTGCTTCCCTGAACTCAAATATTATATAATCTCCTCCTTTGTAGCTTCAGGAACATTTTTACATGGGGCAACATCCCCCTTAATACCGGCAATGTGTTTTCTAACCAGTAGATGCCTCCATTAGTATCCTGTCCACAATAATTACATTTAATACGATTTTTGTCATTTGGATTCGAGTTATAACCATACTTCCTACTCGGATCACCACTTCTAGAAGAATTTGAAAAAGTATATTTCCATAGAACAAGGCTCATTTTCATCATTTTCTGGTTCTTTTAAATTAAAAAATTGTCTAATCCCATCCCGAATAGTTTCAGGAACTTTTTTACAAGAAGCAACATTTCCTTTAATACCAGCAAGGTGTTTCTTGAATCAGTTAATACCCCCATTGGTATCTTTTTCACAAAAATTACGCCTTATATAATTTTTATCGTTTGGTTTTGGGTTATAACCATACTTCCAATCCGGATCACTTCTTCTAGAAGAAGCAAAAATAGATCTATTCAAATGACAAGGATTTTGTTCCTGTTTTTGTTTTACAGAACTCATATATTGCTTAATCTCCTCTCTCATAGCTTCAGGATCATCTTTACAAGGGGCAACATCTCCTTTAATACCGACAAGATGTTTCTTAAACCGGTTTATGCCCCCCTTTTGTATCTTTTTCACAATAATTGCATCTAATGCAATTTTTGTCATTTGGATTCGGGTTATATCCATATTTTCAACCCGGATCTCCACTTCAACTAGATCCTGAAGAAGACATATCAAAATAAAGCAAGCAATCTAAAAATAAAGTTTTACACTTACTTTGATTGTTCGAACTCTAAACTCCCACCTCTGAGATATTTTCAGGTGCTAAAATAATAAAAAACACCCTGTAATAGGATTATAAAACTCCAAAACTAAATCTAATCTACATGGGTGATGTTTGGATCCGCTTTTCGTAACTTTGAGAAACATTTCGATCCAATGAAAATCACAAAATTTAGTTTCTTTGAAGTTTCTTTCTCCCTAAAATGGGTTCTTGTAGCCATTGTCATTGATCTTCTTCTTAATTTTGAACAGTCCTACCTTGACGAGACTTGGG